GGGAATGTAATGGGGGAAAATATAGAGGCGGAAGGTGTTGCCTAAAGTGATGTTGAGTCTCAGTGAGCTATAGCTACACGTACGTACCTCTACTTGGTCTTTGTATTCCTTCTTTAACCTCGTGTAGAGCTTCGATAGCTCCTCGTTCTTCTCCAGTAGAGCCTTCCCCAGCTCGGCCGCTAGCATCAAGTCCTTCTCCTTCTGCGCCAACTGGGCGAAGACGTCTCCGTCGCTGGCGTCGTCATAGTTGCGGCTCTGTATGAGGTCGTAGAGGTATCCCTTCTCTTCGATGTCGGTCGTCATGTTGTCGGTCGCCTTGTGCGTCGCCGACGACATCGACAGTGTCACGTTGTTGTCGTTTATCATGCGGTGAACTCCATTCATCACGCACTGCGTGAGCGGCGGCGGTTGTGGTGGACGCGCGGTCAGTCCGGGGGTGACTGACGGACACACGGACGTGTGCGTATATATATATATATATATATCTATCTCTCTCTCTATCTCTATCGCTCTATGTGGGTGGCTCTCTCCCTCTCTCTGTCTATCTATAATTAACTCTTTCGCGCTCTCTCTCTCTCTCTCTCTCTCTCTCTCTCTCTAGATGCTCGTTTTGGAAAATACTAGCTGTAGATTCGATCGAACTTTTATGTTAGTTAACGTGAACACGCATATCCTGAGAAACGCTAGTCAACATCCTGTTTCGATGCGCGATGACGGAATATACCGCAACACTTGCACCGCGCCCCTGCCGCAGTCGTATGGATTTGCCAATTTGCCGATCACGTTTCACAAACACACACACACACACACACACACACACACACACACACACACACACACACACACATGCATACATATACACCCGTCCCTGTCGGCTGGCAGGTGTCGTCGCGTATCCAGTTCGTAAATATATATCCTCTTCTATCGAAAAAAAATCGCCAAAGAATCACCTGTAACGTCCGATGAGTTGATTAGTTTGTGCTATCCAAGCCGATCTCCGTAGCAACGTACGTGTGTGGCAGACGAACGCGAATGAACACATTGACGCAGCGAGGTAGCCTCATGATGTTTAACTTTAGGTAGTCAACACTGTTTACGTAGGTGTGCATTGCACCGCTGACTAGGTATCGCTCTCGCACCAGCCGTCTGGCTTACATAGCAAGCTGAACCGGCTGTTCGTGATAATACCTTACTTCTCCTATTTTCACGCTCCAGTGTACACATGGCGAATATATTCTGGCGGAATGTACACAATGTGAGCCGTGAGGGAGTCGGTGATGACACACAGGTGTGCTTTCTAAAACATAACCATTTACGCTAGATTCATTTTAATCGTTATTAATTATATTAATTAAATCTTTATTTTAAACGGTAAGACACCTAAATTTAGCTACTTCTGTCTAGATTATGCAATTTAAATGCGGTTCCGACAAGCACAAAATATATCCCTGCCGGTCTTCAAACTGGCACTTTTCAGCCAATCAGCCTTTTGATAAATCGGGTAGGACCGCGCAAATTTTGAAACGTGAAAACAGATTAGGATCCCACAATGAGTTTATGTTTTTAAAACTTCCAAGTATTATTATATAATATTTACATTTTGAGGGAGGACGGCACGCAGGACAAAAGATTATCGTATTGATCACGCAGCCGAGGTAAGAATAACAGTGCAGCGTGCAGTCATATTAGTATTATTACTATCTGTTTGGTCACCGGTCAGTGTCAACAGTCAACACTAGACTAGGCTAGTCACTAGGCCTACCTCATAACATCATAAGTGTTAATCTTCAAAAGTCCTGCGGACTATAACGAAGATGGAGAGAGAAGTGGATCAAGTCGGTAGATCCACACTGCGGATCGCAGCGGAAAAAGTTGTAAATTTGCTATTTACTAAAGATGAAGGCAGTGAATTCCAATACGGAATCACAGAGACAAAGAAGCTAAACTTAAAAGCACAGGCACTTGAAGCGTTTCAATAAAATTTAATGCTAACTAAATACGAAATCTATTTACTTTGTACAAAATTCTTAATGTTTCTATACTATAGCCAGGCCTACTCTCTCTTTCACCTACGGCTACACCGCCGATAGTTTCCAACCACTGCATTACCGGCTGCCATTGCTCTCGCGGCGCGACTGTTGCACGCTTGCACTAATATAGAGCCCTGCGGCTCGCGAGCTCTCGCGGCGCGACTGTTGCACGCTTGCACTAATATATAGAGTGCAAGCGTATATATTATACTCTATATATACTATATATATACTCTATATTCTCTATATTCTATATTCTATATTCTATATCTATATTATATATTCTATATATTCTATATCCTCTATATTCTCTATATTCTCTATATATACTCTATATATTAGTGCAAGCGTGCAACAGTCGCGCCGCGAGAGCTCGCGAGCCGCAGGGCTCTATATTAGTGCAAGCGTGCAACAGTCGCGCCGCGAGAGCAATGGCAGCCGGTAATGCAGTGGTTGGAAACTATCGGCGGTGTAGCCGTAGGTGAAAGAGATCGAGTAGGCCTGGCTATAGTAATAGTATAGAAACATTAAGAATTTTGTACTAAGTAAATAGATTTCGTATTTAGTTAGCATTATATTTTATTGAAACGCTTCAAGGGCCTGTGCTTAAATTGGATCCTAGAAGTTTGTACCATGGGCGCAACCACTGGGGGGGTCGGGGGGGTCACGACCCCCCCTGACTTTTATGTGGACCTCCCCAACTTCTGGAAGACCTTATTTTCTGGGGAGGTCCAAAATAGTCCGATAAGCGTTTATTATCGTAAAACATCCATATTTCACCGGTGAAAGTTAAATAAAAACCCCATGTGGTCAAGTGCAGTGTGATAACTGTGATTCAGATTCAGATATCTAAATAGAACCCTTGTTAATATCATTTAGATTCGACCTACATAGTACATTCAATCTCACGTGCATGGAACGAGCACGACCTTTACCACGCGTTCGCAAGCCAACCGTGGTTATATAGCTACGCTGCGTTGTGTTATAGACACTAAAAAAAGGCCCATCTCCACACAAGCGGCGTGTCGCGGCGCGACACTGCTCACCCCTACCGGCAAAGTTCAAAACTATAATATTTTATGGCACAGTCTCCACTGACACGGCACGGCGCCAGCCCGGCTTTACGGCGACGGCGAAAGTCAAATGAGTTTGACTTTTGCCGGCTGACGTGACGGCGAAAAGACAATTGAACCAATCAACGCGATTGATTTTTATCACGTGTTCTGGAATCGATATTGAAGCAATTGCAAAGGATTTTGTTGGAAAGTGTGACTCAAGGAAGGTCACATTTGGTTTCTAACACTGTTCTCTGTTTTCACTTGTCCGAAATTTTTTGGCATTATTATTTTCATCATTATTATTTTCCTCTTCATCTTAATCATGCTAACTGTGTCACACAGTTAGCACAGTCTGTGTGTAGCTTTACTACTAGCTTAATCTAATTAATAAAACATTTTGGTATTTTATGTATACATGATCATTCAGGACATCACAATTATGCAACACTTCTATCAACACGCTGAAATACGTGATATTGAACCAATACGTGATATTCGCTGGCCCGCAGATCACGTTGCTATTGGCTGCTTGGGACCGGGCCCCCCCAATTTTCAACACGTGATTGCGCCCTTGGTTTGTACATGCCGAAAACAGTGATCACGCTCAGATGAGCGGGTGCAGCGAACAGGCTTCATTAAGCAAGAAGGAATGCCAATTTTCATCTCACCATGATAAATTTTATAGAAAGTTTTGAATGAAGCAAGAAAGCGGACACGAAGAGGAGGCCATTCAATACGAGCCAAAACAACATCAGCACTATCATCATAGTTTCTGGAAACCCATCTCGCAGCTTTATGCTGAATGGTGTCAACTCATAGAGCAGGTTGCTGAAGTCCTATAGGTGTATTTGGGGCTATGCCGAGGTTGGCGTGCGGAAGCGAGTATTCTAAGGTATGGGGCAGGAACGGCATAGGGTTTAAAGTAGGGAGCCGAGTTTGTAGAGTCAGCAAACTTAAGATCTTTATCTTTATCTTCTATCGTATCTCAATTCTATCTCTATAATATATTTAAATAAATGGATCAGTGTGGGTGATATATATAGGTGGGGTAGTATTTATAAGATATCTCGTTATTCTAACTCTTATCTTTTTTTAACTCCGCCCCTCACCTCCTTTTTCTTTATTCGTATCTCAAATCCTATCTCGTTATCTTGTATCTTATTATCTCTCTTATTATCTCTCTTATTATCTCTCTCTTATTACAACTCTTTTAAGAGAGTTGCCTCTCTTATTCATGTTGTTTATGCACGCAGCACAGCGCGGGCGGGTGTTCGGTGTACTTGTGTGTTGCAGATGAGCATTTAACAGGCATTTACAGGTGATTATAAGCGAAATAGAGTAGAGAAACATTAAGACTTTGGTACATTTCGTGTTTATTTACCAAATTATGTTTTTTTATTGAGACGTTCCAAGTGCCTGTGCTCTAGTACTACTACTAGTAATAGTAGTATGCCTGCGGCAACTGTATGTGGGCTACTACTAGAGCTAACTGTCAATTGTCACTGTCGCTGACAATGCCATTGGCATTGACTAGCCTAGTAGTAGTACATGTACGCGTAATACTTATTACTGCTCAAGGGGTCGTTGTCGTAACAGGTACTACAGATATGTACCCGAGGTACATATATGTATACACAAAGTGTACCAGACTTGTACTACAGTAGTGTACCCTAACCCTAACACTAACCCTAACCCTAAACCTAACTCTAACCCTAACCCTAAACATACCTCATATAAAAATATAAACATAATACTAAACAACCTAAAACTACCTCGGGTACATATCTGTAGTACCTGTTACGACAACGACCCTTCGTGCCTTATTACTTGTATTAGTGATCAAGTACATGTACATGATAGTTAATACCTTTTTATACCTTGAAATTATATTCTACACTCGTCTTTTGTCAAGATGGTGGAACCTCTGAATGAACCGATCAGCATGCGGATGTCGCGTCTGCATCAGGTGTTCATGGGCAAGCCATGTAACATCTCCAACAACCTGTACCAGTCGCTGGTCAGTAAGGAGGGTCTGCTGGACTCACTCTTCGTTCTCTACAACGAATGCAACAACGAATACATGATCAAGCAGAACAAGGGCATTGCCGAATTCGTCAGCAAGTGTAAGTGTAGTTATCTATCTACGTGTTGTCACTTATCTATGCCTCGTTATCCATTAAAGTGACAGTATTTATTTTGTCAAATCGCTCAGGTTTTCCTTCTGGAATCTGGGACAGAATCCTGCGACTACAAATATCCTATCTTTGGACACTCGATCCTACCCTAGAAGAACCTAGAAACCGGGGCGCTGCGTTGTCAGAAACACCAATAACTTTCGCACGAACGTACCCTTTACTTCGAAAGTTACGACATTGTAGACTTGCGATATTGTAACTATTTACGATGTTTCGTATGAGGAACCACCTTGAACAATCTCACACACGTGACATCATATTGCATTCCTACACAAATAATAATAATAACGATAACAACAACAACGATAATTTCAATAACTTTCTTCTCCGCTGTGTCAATAATCGAACCGAATCTCCATCCCTCCTAGACCCACAAGGTTTTCTGGCGCGACTAATATCTCTCGCAGCACGTCCCTACACAAATAATAATAACGACGACAACAGCAACGATAACTATAAATATAATAACTTCACGCTCCGTTGCGTCAATAATCGAACCGAACCTCCATCCCTCCTAAACCCACAAGGTTTTCTGTCTCGACTAACATCTCTTGCCATGCGTTTTCAGTCCGGCCGACGATCCAGGAGCTGACGCGGCTGCGAATTGGCATCGGTGACTTTGAGGTGAAGAACGTGATTGGTCGCGGACACTTCGGCGAGGTGCAGGTGGTGCGGGAGAAGCAGACGGGCGACGTGTATGCAATGAAAACCCTGCGCAAGGCCGAGACTCTCAACCAGCAGAACGTAAAGCTGTTGTTATTATTATTTATTTATTTATTTGATATTGTTATTATTGTTTTTGTTTTTTTGATTTAGTGATTGGTACTTTGTAGCAAACATCCTCACCCAGCAGAACATAAACTCATCATCTTCATTTTCATCATCATCATCATCATCATCTTCATCTTCATCATCAACATCTTCATCATCATCTTCATCATTATCATCATCATCATTATTATATTGATTCAATAACAGTACTTTGTGGTAAAAGTATAAGCAAGCTTGAGACACCGCATTTTGCCGTGCACGCTCGTAAAACGCATAGAAATCGGTCTGGCTTTCGTCGACCTGGTGATAACACCCTAGCAGTAGCAGGCGTGGTCACTTCGATCGTGTGACGATAACGTGGTGTATCGGTGGCAAACGATGACAGACACGCGACATTTACAGGTAGCGTTCTATGAGGAGGAGCGGGACATCATGGTGAAGGCGAGCACGCCGTGGATCACACAGCTGCAGTATGCGTTCCAGGACGCCCGCAACATCTACCTTGTCATGGAGTTCCACCCGGGCGGGGACCTGCTCTCCCTCCTCGCCAGGTACCCGTTAGAGCTGCGTCGGCGGACGCGTCAGTGGAACGGGCACCCATCTATGAGGGAGACCGAGTTTTTTCTCTGAGCGGCAGTGCGGTGAAACTGCCTGTATAGAACAAAAACCTGTCTATTAAGGTCGATTGTGGTTTCCTTTGAGTGGCAGTTGTACAGTGAGACCACCTGTATTGATTGATCGGTTTCGGTTACCTGTCTATAAAGGACAATTTTGCGGTTTCCTTGAGTCACCCTTACATACGGGTCTGACTCTATTAGAAAGGTCTGTCAGTTAGAGGTCCTCAGTTGCAAACTGCATGCAGCGCCCCCTTCGCACAACGTTCTCCGGATACCACTGCCACAATGCTAGCACTATTTTTAAAGTGGGCGGAGCTCCGGGGAAATCCAGCGAATGGAGATTCGTAAACAGCGTATGATTTGAAAGAGGTAACTGGGCGCACAATCCGCGCATTATTTCGTATCACTATTTTATCAAATTTTTCATGAAATAATGGTCAGACTTTTATTATCTTTGCAGCTTTCATAAGTACACACCGTATTACATAGGACAGGAGTAACGGGGTCGCTGTAACACTTATAGTAAAAAAGCGTAAGAAATTCTTACGGAAATCAGCTTGTGGCAATGGTAGAATTGAGCCAGAGCGAGAGCGCAATCTGTCGTGGAGTTTGCTTCAGTTGAGGATGGGTAATGCTATCCCCCGGGCGTGGAGGGAGGTGACCGCAACGTGG